TGGAAGGTTTGATATATCGTAACTACCAATACAATAAAAGAAAAGATGACTTCAGAGTTCATCGTGCGCAATATAGTTAAACCTGAAAGTTGAGGAATTGGCGATAGCATTTCGTAGCCTTGGATGTTGGTCTGCCAGACCGAAACAACATGAATAAAAACGAATGGTCAGAATACCTTGGGGCCCAAATGTCATGTAAACAAATACATAATTAGTTACAATATTGCAGAGTAACAGTTTCAATCAATTCTAAACAGTTTTAACGTTGTTTGCTCATTTGCCACTATGTTTTGGTTTTTATATCGTAGCTGTTTTGGTATCACACGACGCGTTTCGGCATCATACCATCTTCAGTAGTGGGCCTGAACTTGTTTAGCCAGGTCTACTTAATAGAGTGAGATTTCTTCCTGAATTATGTTAGGTAATGAACTATAGCTTGATCATATCTGATTAGTTTTGATTTGTCTATGCTTGTCAGGGTTTTCAGTAGAGCGAGATACAAATCGACCGATAAAAAAAGAAGCTGAAATTTGATAGGCAGACCAAAAATGGACGGAAACGAATTTATTTGTATTAATCTATAGTTAGGCAGTTTCCGATAATTTTATTTATCCGTAATATGTACATATTAGTTGGTGCGTGCGCGGTGTTTTAGCCTGCGCTTTAAACATTTCTAATAACTCAGGTTTTCCTATCCTGGTTTAGGCGTCAGGTATTTTATGTAGGTTGAGACAAGTCCCCGAAACTTACGAGTTTTGTGCAGCCCATTCTCCTGATAATGGTTCCCTTTTGGGATGGGAAAATATAAATATAAAAGTAGGAAAAAATTGCGGAAATGTAAGTAGACAGTGCCTTGACTCAATTTTTTTAACCCTAACCTAACCATCAACAGACCCAACACTGAAGATGGCGAGAAGCGGAAACTTGTCTGTCAGACCAAAAAAGCGAGGTCAAAATGATTATGGTTGCCTGCAGTTTAGCACCTAGGCATTTGTGTTGATGAGTTGCAAGAAATTAAATAAAACGGGTGCGACCTGTTTATACTTAGAAACAAAAAAAACAAAACAACAAAAACAGCAAGGTAGAACAACATAAACGATAACATTTTCGTTCTCTTATCCAAGCTGTTTTAGTCTAAAACTCGTTTCGGCATTTCGCCATCTTCAGTGTTGAGGTTGTAAAGGAAGGAATTAAAAAGAGTGGATTCCTTGCGTTTCCCTACTTACAACCTAGAAGAAAAAGAGCTATGTAGATCAAAATGAACGAAACTTTTAAGTACCCCGCTGTTGTAGTTTTTCAAACGCGGTTTTGCTTTTCGCAATTTCTACGGTGAGTTTATAAAACAAGAAAGACTGGGCTGCTTGCCTCACCCTACTTATAACGTATATCACAAATTGTTAGGTAGAACAAAACGAATGGAAGAACCATTTGTCCTCTAATTTTATTAGCATATCCTCGCTTTTTAGTTTTTATTTTGGCTTTCGCCATAATCAGCAAGTTTGTAAATCAAGAAATTCAAAATAGTGGTTTCCTTGCCTCGCCCTGCTTGTAAACTAGAACAAATCAACCTTGTATATCAAATTAAAGCTACGAGATTAAGCTACAGGTTGTTCCACCTCGCAAAATAAAAAAATCTAACAATAAACAACAAAAATCAATTAACGATTAAAAGTGCAAATACTAATTCTACTGTCCCACAGTTACTCCGTTGATAAAAGTAATTAATTTTTGTTGAATGCGTGTTTGGAGACGATAAAAAACGTTTTTATATGCGATGGTGTAAAAGAAGGGGGTCGATAAAGCGGTCAGCCTCAAATAGCTTTTATGTTAGGAATCCGCAACTTCATGTTTACCTCCATCGGTTATTCCCATGGAATAAACTGTTTGGATATCGAATTTCCAATATCGCGGTAACATGAAAGAGAAACTGGGAGCTAAACACACTCAAATTGTGCCAAATGAGAATTGATACGACGAAAAGGGGTAAATTTTATTTACAAGTAGCTTAAGAAATTTATTATCTTGTTTTTCATGTTGAAAATTTCGTATTCTATGCACGTTTGTCGAGTGTGAGTTGTGAATGCCAAATGTAAATTGCATAAATCTTTTATCATAACGATTAGATAACGATCTAATCAATATAAATGATAAGATAATATAAATATGATTTGATAAAAGATTATTGTAGTTTTAATGTTGTAGTTACAACGTATTATTGTAACCAAAGTGCATAAATTACAGTTTTTGTTACATACTGGTCGCAAAAAGACCCAATTAATGTGCATGTATCGGTGATACAGATCTTATCTGATAGATTCTCCCGAATGTGCAGATCTCAAATAGCGTTGAATTCTTTTAAACTAAAATATTTTGTTATGTTGTAAGACGAATACTGATTGATCATTTATTCTCTTGCTTGATATTTAATTCACCTAATATTTAAGTAGTTGCTTGGAAAATAGTTGATTACACTCCAAAACCAAAATGTTGTATGTAAAATGTTCAAAAGTTTAGAAGTTCACTTTTTATATTGCTCATTCTTTTGGAAAACAACTATTCAGAAATCGTGAGATTCGGTCTGGTGTGATGTAGGTTTCAGAAAAACATTTTCTTTATCGTGCCAACGTTTCGATATTTATTGAGATCATCTTCAGGGCTCAAAGTGTTTGTCTTCTGTGTAATTGTGCCATTCTTGCGTGTCGTGTTGAGAGTGCCCCAGGCACTTATCCGTTAAAAATTGATGTAACAATAGATAGATAGATGGATATGTAGATAAATAGAAAAGCACATAGATAGTTGTTAAATTGGTGTATAAACATATAGATAGATTAATGTTTGGATGGATAGATAAATAGATAGATGGAGGAATAAATAAACGAATTTATAAAAAAATAGATTGAAGTATAGGTGGATAGATAGGAAGGTAGATATATGGACATATATCTCTAGATAGATGGATGGATAAATAAATGAATAAATAGAAGATAGATGGAAGGAAAGAGAGATAGATAAATAGATGGATCGATATTAGTTAAATATATGGACGGTTAGACAGATAAATGGTGAGATAATTGATTAATCTAATCATAATTTGATGGATTGGTAGGTTGATAAATAGTGAAATAGATACAAAGATAGATGGGTGGATGGATATAAAAATTTAATTAAAGAAATAATTTGACAAAAAAGTAGATGCGTAGATGGATGGATGAAGATATAGATATATCTTCGATGTATAGACGTATAGATGGATAAATAGATGGCTAGGTAGATACCTAGGTGGATGAAGAGATGGATAAATGGACGGGTAGACAGATAAATGAATACATAATTGATATACTGTCACAATTGCATAGATGAACGGTGTAGAAATAGATAAATAAAGGTAGATAAATAGAGCATGGGTTGAAAAATTTATGTGTGGATAGAATTGTAGATAAACAGATAAATGAATAGATAGATTTATGGATATATAATGTAAAAGTAAAGAGAGAGAGAGAGAGAGAGAGAGAGAGAGAGAGAGAGAGACTATAAAATGGTTCTAATAAGAAAGAGCACGCTAACGTGCAACATTATTAAGAGATTAAATCAAATCTGTAGTAATCTTTCTGGAAAATGCTAAACTTCTCTGGATAAACAATTGTTATCTTTAAACAATAATCGTTCATTCTCACTGAAAAAGCACAATCAAGATTAAGATAAATGCCCTTAGTACAAACTCTTTACAATTCCAGCGTTATCTTAGCATTTATCGATAAAGCAAGAAAAAATAACTAGAGATAAATTAGGTTGAAAAAAAATTGCAATTGGTTGTGATTTAACATGTACTGTAACAACAGACGAGATAATGCTCACTTGGTTATCAGGGATGTGGTCAAATAAAATATTTTTAATTTTAAAACTTCGCCTAGCTTTCAGAACTTTATTGAAACCTTCTTCAGGTCTCTATAAAAGGATATGTTATACAGTTTTAGATTTGGCCACTTTACATGTAAGAACATAACACACATTTTTGTACTTACTGATTTTTAGTCAGAAGTAAATAAACTTGAATTGTTTTATTTTCATGTTAACACTAACATTTTTTCTCACATTTTCTCAACTAATCTGTCAATTCATAGTTGAAAAGGTAATGAAAAAAATGAGAAAAAACTTTCAGTGTTAACATGAAAATAAAACAATTCAAGTTTATTTAATTCTCACTAAAAATCAGAACTTACAAAAATGTGTGTCATGTTCTTATATATATTGATGTTCAATTAGTCAAAATTAAAAATGTATAATATAACCTTTTGTGTTGTCCTGAAGAAGGTACAATAAAGTTCCGAAAGCTAGGCGAAGATTTGAAATTAAAAATATTTTATTTGACCACATCCCTGATAATTAGGAGAACATTATCTGCATAAGCTGGTCGAAAAATCTACAAAACAGACGAGATTACATAAATACTATGAATCTTCCTGACACCTTTACGTCCGCCGAGACATATTCCTGTGACTGTACAAGGCAGGGCGATGACCTTAAGTTGTGAATGGAACCTTAGCATGCCAGGAAGTAGACGAATCAATCAGAGCCTTTAATGGTATCGTAGCGTGCAATGTACATTTACAGCAAATAATACTGACGCATAAAATTTTAAAAACAAACATTATCAAAGGTATTAAACAAGCAACTTATACAGAAGAAAAGTGAAGCACGGAGTGTCGCACATGTCTTAGTTGCCAAAATTTGAGTGTTTGTAAAATTCCTCAGGTTGGTAATCAAAGCGCCTGATACTAGATAAATAATACTAAAGTCGGATTCGATAAAATACTATTTATAAAAAAATAGTTAACGTTAAGGAATTTTGCCTAATTCATCTTGTTCCCCACGTGCCGTGGGTTCAAGTTTAAGTTTGTCAATCCGGTTCTCTGTTATCACATAATTTTTTTATTTAAACACTGTATTTTTTTGTTTTCGTTTTTTGAACTTCTAGTAATTTATTTATATATTTTTTGCAGGGAAGTGACAGTTGGCAAGGACAAGACAACGACCAGGTATGTCAAGCAATTTCATTGTTTTTTAAACTTTAAATATGCTTCTGACACACTATTTTTCAAATTTTATGCTATTGGCTAGCTGGGTTATCTAAGTCTTGAATTGTCTTACCTTTTTTCGTGTTTGTGTCCCAATATCGTCTCGATTTTATTTGCAAGTTAATATTCTTGCATTCTTTTCCTCTACTATTTTAACAGACGTTCGGGGGTTCTTTGAGTATCCTCGTGTTAATATGGTATTTTCTATCCGTAGTCAGTAAAGTTAAACTCTTTTCTAATTTTCTAGTATGAACTCGACCACCCTTTGGCTAATTTTTTCCACCGTCACAGATTTACTCTTGGTATAGTCATTAAAGGTGTTTGCTTATTTGGAGTGCCCTCATTTATGCCTGTTTCCCTGCTTTGTCGGTATTTTAGTTCTCTTTGATGCGTGGCCAGGTGTCCAAATAAAGGTCCTCTTTCACTCTAGCTCTTTTATGACAAGTAGGATGTTTCGAATAATTTTATGATTGCCGTAGACTTTTTTGTAGGGGCTAGTACAGATTGGGAATAGGAATATAAGGGGAAACTTTGTGCTTGCTATGTAAATACTATGTAATTTAATAATCTATACGATGTGAAGTTGTCATTTGGTTGCTACTCAAGTTTTAGCGCCACAGGTTACTTGCAACCATCCAACTCTTCATCTTTCATTTGATATGGTAATTCACCACTTTTAACGGGGGTTGGGGCATCCGTAGATTTTTTTCGTGGGACAATGAGCACCATGTCAGAGTCTTTTGACTATTACGAATTGGCAGATTTGACTACATTTTACATCTAATTCTCCTTACAAATTGTATGCACCAAAAGTATTTGTAAGAGTAAGTATAACAGTTTAGAAAAAGTTCTTGCGTTTATATTTTTCGTTGACTTTAAATGCCCCCAAGTTGGTATTAAAAATAAACTTAAAATAAATATTTATTTGTGTTATAATTTCCGCGTTTCGCACGTTCAAATTGAGCGCCATTAAACAAATCAGCTGCTAATTGAAACGTTGCGTTGGCGGAGGTATCAGCGGGTTGGCGATTCATGTCGAGAGACGTGGTTGTGGAAGTAAGTTGTATGAAAAGACAAAGTAGTCAACTTGGCAAAAAGCGGGGTTTACCAACTCAATTGTAATGATTGTGATATTAAATATATAAGACAAAGCGGTAGAGAAATAAAAACAAGAGTAAAAGAACACTTGCCTAAATCGAGCAAATTTTCGGAATTTAAGGACCATCTAAAGAAACAAAACATAATTTCAATTCAAATCTAAATACAAGAGTTACATAGTTTCCACAAAGGGAAAGAATTAGATTGGTTTGAGAAATTGAAATTAAAAAATGTAAAATTGAACATGGTGATAAATGCATTAATAATATAACAGATTTTGATCTACCTCCCATTTTAAATATGTACATAAATAATATTAAGCGTCCAAATAATTAAATTAATTATTTTAATTGTTATTATTTTTATAGTAATTTAATAATATTAAGTATTTACTTGTATAATATTTATTTGTGTTATAATTTCCGCGTTTCCACGTTCAAATTGAGCGCCATTAAACAAATCAGCTGCTAATTGGAACGTCGCGTTGGCGGAGGTATCAGCGGGTTCACTTTGGCAATTCATGTCGAGAAACGTGGTTGTAGAAATCCTTCAACCTGACGATGAGCTAAAAGGCTCGAAATCCGGATCGTTGCAAAACAACTTACTGTGAGTAGGAACTATCTTTTTAAAAAGACCACCACACTCACTCCATCATTTATCATTCCTAGTAATTCAGAGATGGTTCAGCATTCGACAACAGAGCTCTTGGGGCAGGTTGCTGAACCTTCCTGATGACCTATGTATAATTTCCATATAAATATTTTGCTTTACTGTGTGCATTAAATTCGGTGTTTACTTTATTGGGTAATTCGCTGTCTCTTTTGAAAATATTTTTTTAAACGGCGTAAGTCTGAGGTAGAAGTATTGGTGGTGTCACACATTTTATATTATAAGGAAGTTTTAGGGAGATCTTCTAATTTGCTCAACAAAATCCAAGGCAAAACAAAACAAAATCTACTGTTTCGATTATCCTGAAAGAGAAACGTAATTGAGAGAGGTTTAAAGTAAATCGGCCAAATTACTAGAGCTTGAACACATTTAACTTAAATCCTTCTGTTGTAACAGAACTCTATTTGCAAGCAAAGAATGCAAGAAGGGTAGCATCCATTGTAACCGAGCTTTTCCCAGATTAAACTTGGACAATCGCGAGTGTGGGGGTGTTTGTCGAGCTAAGAACTGGTTTCAAAACAAGCTCTGACCCCTTGAATCTGACCTGAGGATTTTCCCGTTATTTCAATTGTGCTTTTAGTGAACAATTGTTCCACATAACATCTCTTGATAATTAAGTTTAATTTAAGAGCCAAGAATGGGCTCTTTTAGAACAGGATTTATGTTTTTAATAAGGTTCATTTTCAAGATTTGACATCTGTATTTCTTCGTTCGGCAAATATGATAGAAAAACAACGAGATAGTAATAAATTATCTATGGTCGTGTTTCATTTTCTGTAATCTTGGAATGTTATTGCTAACAAATAACACATTTGCATCTTCAAATATAAACCATTAGCATGACACTGCTAGAAGATAACCTACCTCCAAAGTCCTAAGTTTATAGCCAAAACTTATTTCAAAATAATGTACTCGTCGCGTTGCATCCAGAGGCCTCTGTATCTGTTCTCTGCGAATTTTCATGTATTGACTGTAATCTTCATTGAAAAAGTATAACTTCTTTGTTTATTAACTTCTCTTTATCATTAGCAAAATCAATTTAAAAAACTAAGTGGCATCATGTTTGATAAACCATTGGCATATTGACTGCATCGTTCCTGGTCGAGATGGCGCTTATCATCGAATTGTACAGTCTCTTATGGAACCGGATTTTGATGCTAGATATTGGATTGCTTAAGTGGACAGTATATTCAATATTTCCAAGTCTTCTGTAAAGTTGTCCAATAGGATTCCACGTCGGTCTACTGTTTAGGTATAATCATGTTATAAAGTTAGAGGTTGGCGGAATACGATTCGATTTGAGAAGACAAAAGTGTAGTATCATCCGGATACGTCGTAATGATAATGTTGGGATGTTTAGGAAAGACAGACGTATAAATTTTATGGAGGATTGGACCATTAATACTCCCTTGTGGGACGCTGGGTTGTATCGGTCTGATATCTGAACATTCGTTGGCTCAGCTCACTCTGGAGGAGCGCTTAATATGATTAAGACGCCAGCTGCTTGCTGTCTAATCGCGACCTCTTTTGACATACGGATTGGAAATGGGTTCCACCAAGCCATCCGTTATCCAACACATCCAGCCCTTCCAAGCAAAAGCTCTCAGAGTCAAAGCTGCTTTCTATATTATATACCATATATATTCTATATTATATATACTAATAAATAAAACGTAAACGACGCCTTCCCACGCCGTATCAAGTTATCCTGGAATGCTATTTAACTGGCACTGATCGGAGTGAGGTGAGCTGACGAATTTTCAGATATTAGACCGTTACAAGCACTGTTTACACAACTGTTGGATAATATCAGCGTGAGGACTATTAAATCTCTTTATCACTAGCAAGAACAATTTACCCAATGGCATCATGCAGCACAACCGTTTTCTAACATCCCTTATCCAAATTCGTTCTAGGGTGGCATATATCTTTGTTGTAATAGTTGATGATTATAATTCGTTTATGTGATGATGTACAATACTTTGGTGGTTTCTAACTTACGTTCTGTCTCGCTAATTTGGTCTGCCAGATGCATATCCGTTTTTAAGTCTTGTTCTGTATTGGTCAAGGTATAAACCAAGGAGATACAAAGCTCTTTAATTATGAGTTCAATATATGTGAATTATGGACTATCCCACTCTCCCTCATTTATATTTGACTTAGACAAAAATTTGATGTAAGTAGACACAAATTTGCTTCAGCCTGTTTATAACTATGAACAAAACACAGAAACCCACTGACTAATTTCAGATTCGCGCCAGGCAGTCAATGTACGCCAGCTCTTTGGTGGAAATCATGCATGTGGTATGTTTAAATCTCATTGCCCTCTTGGGCGTACTATGCATAATCTCATCACTGATGATGACGAGAAGTTGATCATTGATTAACAAAACCAATACTAGTTAGGCCAGAATACTCTGATTAAACGTTAATGTTATACTACAAAAATTTTTGCCTTGATACTTAAGAAAATCTTGTATTATACAAATCAAGCAGTGATTAGGTGATTAGGTCCATGATATTAATAAATCCCACTTGCAATTCCTTTAGTAATGACGATTAAATGCGCCTTGATTACTGGGGTTATTGAAGCATGGATCCTTTCATTTGGTTTGCAATACGAAGTTTAGATAACACCTCAATTGATATCATGGCTTAATTGAATATTTGTTCCCGACTTGTGGCGGTGACCGCAGTGTAATTCGGCTCTTGAGGGGAAAATCGCGGTCGGGGATTTGGCATTGTGTCAGGAGACAAAACCTTTGCCTGATGAAGTGGAAGTTCATTCTGAAACGTGTATCCACTGTTAATGATTCGGCTAAGGCTTAAATCATCACCTTAATTGCACAATTACACAAGCACAAAGCTAAACTTCCAGAATATGTAGTTTTTTCACAAGCAAAACTATGATAAAACAGTCTTAAAATTTTATTATATTCAAACACTCTAAACGATAATTTATATAACATATCATGATTTTTTTATGTACTGGAACTCGTAATACTGCCATTTAAACAATACAATATTAATAAAGTAGGTACATTTTAAAATAATCATCATATGAATATTTTTTTAAAAAATTCAAAAATACCTAGACTTAAAAAGCAACTGCCATAAATATACAGTTGTAAATTAATATTTAAACAATAATAGATTTTTTCAAATAAAATTATTTATTTTAAAAATCTTCTCTT